GGGTGGGCAACTGGGTGAAATAAGGCACAGGCCACCGATGTAAACAGTGACAATGCCGCAGGAAAAGGTCCACCTGGGTTGCGGGGACTCGGTGACAGCAGGCCCTGGGACGGTATTGAGGGGGACAAAATCCCAGCCGTGGTCCCTACTGTTGGACGGGGCGGGGCGGCAGCCCCCTGGCCCACCCTGCTGGCTGATTTCTGCAGAAGGCCCCGACCCCCACCTACGGAGGAGGGAGGAGGGAGGCGGCCCGCTGGGATCGCCCGGCCCCGTCCAGGGCTCGCCCCGGCCTGCCCAGCTCTGCCGTGGGTGGGGAGGTTCCGACACATCCCCCACCCGACCGCCCCAGCTCACCCACCTCCGGGCGCGGCAGGTCGGGGTCGAGCTGCGTGAAGCTGTGCAGCACCACCGGGCAGCTGTCGGGGACCCCCACCTCCAGGCGCACGGCGTCCCACACGCTGCGGCTCCGCCGGGAGCCCGGAAACAGCGGCTCGGCGCCGCCAACAGGCCCGGCCGCCTCGGCCCACATGCGCTGCACCATGGAAGGCTCGCGGCAGGGGCCGGGCCGCCGGGACCGCCCGGGGCAGGCGCGGGCGCGGGGCCGCCCGGCCGCGCGGCGGGGGCGGCGGCGCAGCCCGCGCGACTGGGCTTTGCCTCCGCTGTGAGCCCGCGGCCCGGCCCCTGCTGATGTCAGGCTGGGGGCGGAGCCGGAGGGGTGAGGAGGGCGGGGCCAGGGAGGGGCGGGACCGGAGAGGCCCAGGCACGCGTGCGTGCGTGCGTGCGCGCGCCCGCGGCCCCGCCCTCGCCGAGGTCAGACCCGGGAGCCTGGAGGGGCGGAGTCTGAACAAAGAGGGCGGGGCCGGGGAGGTCGAGGGGCGCGCGTTGGCTGAGTCTCCCTAAAGGAGGAGAGACGTGTGTCGTCGGGCCTTGGGTACCCCGCTTAGGCACCGTCTGCGTGTTACGCTGCTGCAGTGCGTGGGTTGTGTAGGTCTGAAATCTGTACGTGCTTATGATGTGTGGGGAAGCCGCCCTGATGTCGGCAACCCCGAATTCCAGCAAAGCCTCTCCCCAGCCCTGTGGCCTTCCACAAGTTGCTTAACCCCTCTGAGCCTCACTGTTTCTTCATCTGCAAAATCTGGGTAGTGAAAATGACTTCCTCAAACAACTGCGGGGAGGATGACATTATGTGAGGGACATAAAGCACTCAGCACCTGCACCTGACTACAGGCTCATGCGGAGTTTGGAGAGGCTGACTATGTGTTCAGTGACCATGTCAGTGCAATTGGAAATCCTGAGTGTGGGGCTGTGTGTGCAGTGGGGGAAAGAGTGGGGCCCTACCATTTTTGGGGTACGGCCCCATACTATCCCCTTTCAGCCTGACAGACACCCTCAGAGGAGGGGAAGTCAGGGAGGTGGGGGAGAGCGGGAGGCGCCAAGGTTGGGGCTGAGAAGCAACTGAAGAGGAAGGCATCAAGAGTGACAATGCTGGGCAGATCACATGGCTGTGGGGCCTGTCAGCTGGGGCTGCTTGTCGCTTGGACATCCCTGGTCTCAGGGTGGAGTGGGGCTGCTGGGGCTGAAGGGGAAGCAGGGACAGGGAGATCCTCAACTACTCTTTCTGGAAGCCAGTGAGGAAGGAAGACAACCTGGGGCTTAACAGCAGGGCCAGGAGAGTGGATGAATGAATGGGACCCTTCCTCGTGCCTCACCCACCACTGGGCCTGCGCCGGCCTCAGCCCTCAGTCCTCAGGGAGGCCAGCAATCGCTGCCACCAGCCCTGGCCATGCCAACCTCCCCACTGGTCCGTACCACTGGGCCTCAGTTTCTCCATCTGTAAACTGAGAGGGCGGGACCAGACAGCACATTCCACGAGCACATCTTGCCCCCTTCCCAAGTGCCAATCCTCAGACACCCACGGAAAACGCTTCCACTGTGACTGGAGTGAGGTGGCAGGTCATCCTTTCAGAACCAGACCCCCATGTGCACACGACTAGAAGGGCCTACTTCACAAAAATTATGGTGGTAAGTTGCAGCTGGGTAGAGAAGCTATACTGGCTTTCATTTTACTTCCCTGAATTTCTAATTTCTAAAATCAGTATTTTAATAATCAGCTGTATGTGATAAATGCTGTTTTTGATTTTGTTTTTTAGACAGAGTCTCGCTCTGTCACCCAGGCTGGAGGCTGGAGTGCAGTGGTGTGATCTCGGCTCACTGCAGTCTCCGCCTCTTGGGTTCATGTGATTCTCCTGCCTCAGCCTCTCGAGGAACTGGGATTACAGGCACCCGCCACCATGCACAGCTAGTTTTGTATTTTTCGTACAGACAGGGTTTCGCCATGTTGGCCAGGCTGGTCTTGAACTTCTGGCCTCAAGTGAAGCGCTCTCCTTGGCATCCCAAAGAGCTGGGATTACAGGCATGAGCACCACGCCCAGCCTGTTTTTGTTTTTTTTTTAAGTGGCTCACGCCTGTAATCCCAGCACTTTGGGAGGCCGAGGCGGGCGGATCACAAGGTCAAGAGATCGAGACCACAGTGAAACCCCGTCTCTATTAAAAATACAAAAAATTAGCCGGGCACGGTGGCGGGTGCCTGTAGTCCCAGCTACTCGGGAGGCTGAGGCAGGAGAATGGCGGGAACCCGGGAGGCGGAGCTTGCAGTGAGCCGAGATCGTGCCACTGCACTCCAGCCTGGGCGACAGAGCGAGACTTCGTCTCAAAAAAAAAAAAAAAAAAAAAGAAGCAAGATGGGTAGATTTGACTTGGGATGGAGATCCCTAGAGGCTGTTTAGGAAGCCTCCAAGCCCTTTGGCCAGGGAGGGTAATGTAGGTGAGGCACATTTAGAGGCGGGAGGTTCCCACAGGGCCACAAAGAGGTGACCTAGACACTGCCCTCTGGCTCTAAGCTCCTCCTCCCATCCCTTTCTCCTGGGGCCAAGCTCCCAGTGCCTCCAGAAACTGAAAGTCCAGAAGCTGCCTGCCACTGACTTTATCTCCTCTGCTCTTTATCTCCTTCGCTGAGCTGAGTGAGTGACGGGCCTGGGAACAAGCACCCACCCGTTTTATAGCCCAGAAGGACAAGTGACTCATGAGGACACAGAAGAGTCACCACTATTCTGGCCTTGAAGGTCCTGGGTGCTGGGGCGAGGGGTGGCCCCAAGGAGGCTGGAGAGGTGAAGAATAAAGAATTCATTACACTAAACCCTCCAACGCGGCTGGCCTGGCTCCTTCCCATCTGACTATATCATCTACAGGAGCCAGGGTCGGGGAGGGCATTACTTAGCCAGTCCCTCTGGCTGGTGTCTGTTTTTACAAAGTTCCTCTTCCTGCCTTGTTCACCTACCTTTGGGACTCCCCTCCCAACTCCTGGGAAGCCTGATCACTGCTCTGGCTGTACATGAGACACACACACAGACATAGAGACAGACACAAAGATACACAGAGATGCACACGCAGAGACACATACATAGACACAGAGACACAAAGATACACAGAGATGCACACGCAGAGACACATACATAGAGACAGAGACAAAGATGCAGAGACACAGACACACACACACACAGAGACAGACACAGGCGCACACACATACAGAGACACACACACAGAGACATAGGGACAGAGACATACATACACACACAGAGACAGAGACACACAGACAGACATACATACTTAGAGACATGGAGACAGACAAAGAGACTGGGCGTGGTGGCTCATGCCTGTAACCCAGAGCTTAGGGAGGCAGAGGCAGGATTTCTTGAGCCCAGAAATCGGAGACCAGCCTGGGCAACATAGCAAGACCCCATTCTCCACAAAAAGGGAAAAAACAAGTTTGAGATAGACACAGACATACACAGATATAGAGACATAGACACATAGAGAAACACACACATAGAGACAGAGACACAGGTACACACACCCCACTAATGAATGTACTGGTAAAGTTCCCTGCACAGGATGTGTTGCCCAATGCCCCCAGATCGGGCAGGCCTGACTGCTCCACACTGTTAGCAACCGGGCTTGGCATTCATGGGACACCTCCTGCATGCAAGACCCTCTCCTGAGGCCTCCTGTGCCTCCTGTAAGCTGTGGGGACACCCTAACCAAGGGCAAGGCCATCCTGGGACAGCACATGTCACCAGTGGAGGAACATAGCACCACTCACAGTGTTCTCCTCAAAACCCAAACCTAAATCAAAGCAGGCCTCTGCATATAACTGCCATTTTGGGGATTACAGGGGACAGAGGAACATGTTCAACACACCACAAGGCTGCAATCCACAAATCCAGGCTGTGGGAACCTCTACAGGACAAACAACCCAGTTTCTTCAACAAATACATTTCAGAGGAAAAAGGGGAAACTAGATTAAAAGAAGGGTAAGAGACATCTAACAAATGCAATGTGTGGATTTTGGATCATGATGTCGGCAAGACAACTGTTAAAAAAAAAAAACAACAACTACAAGACATGTGGATTGTCTGAACACTGCTGCATACTGGATGACATTAGACATCTTTTTAGGTGTGAGAATGGTGTTGCGGTCACTAGCAGTGTTACATCCTGGGCTATCTGTGGATGGTATCACATGCCTGGGATTCATGTAAATGTCTCCAGGGATGGGCAGGGAGTGGGGCAGTGAGAGGTGAACAAGAGTGGCCCTGCACCGATGGTCGTGAAAGCTGGGGGTCTTTATGTAATTTTCTCTACTTTTGTGTCTATTTGGAATCATCCATAATAAAAGTTATAAGAAGAAAAATGGCTGGATGCAGTGGCTCACGCCTGGAATCCCAGCACTTTGGGAGGTTGAGCTGGGTGGATCACTTGAGGTCAGGAGTTCGAGACCAGCCTGGCCAACGTGGTGAAACCTCGTCTCTTCTACAAATACAAAAAAATTAGCCTGGCATGGTGACGCGTGCCTGTAATCCCAGCTACTCGGGAGGCTGAGGCAGGAGAATCGCTTGAACCTGGGAGGTGGAGGTTGCAGTGAGCCGAGATTGCACCTCCACACTCCAGCCTGGGCGACAGAGCGAGACTCCGTCTCAAAAAAAAAGAAGAAAAAGGACACAGCTTGAGACTCGCCCTCTGATACCTCTGAGGCTCCCAGCAGTCCTCCAGAGAGGACTACAAACTTCTGACCCCGGGCAGTGACACCTGGCCGGGCTCGCCATTTCCTGTATTACTCTCTGTGTGCTCAGGGGTCACTGATGGCATCTTTACTACAAAAGGGGTTGGGGGCCCTGCTGCAGGGAGTGAGGCCATGGGCAGCTAGAACCCAAGTCCAGATGCCCAGATGGGGCTGTCAGAGGCGGCTGGGGGCAGCCCGGGTCAACTTGGGTGGGTTTGACGCTCAAGGCTATGGACAACCCTGTGCTTGGCTGTTGGAGCCTCTGCTGGGAGGAACTAGGGACTCTCGACAGCACTAAGCACTGTCCGGAAGTGGGGGTTCTTAGGAATCAGCGTCGGTCCCTTCCTCCCTCCTGCTCCAGCTCATGCCCCCCACCTCCCACCTAGCCTTCCCAGGTTCCCAACCTCCCCCTGGGACATGCACCTGCCTTTCCTTGGGGGCTACAACCACAAGCCCCTAGAGCACAGCTGCACAGACCTTTCGGAAGCCGGGACGCTGCTCGCAGGGGAACTTAAAAAGGCAGGCTGTGAACTGACAGATGGCAGCCAGCTCCCGCCCACACATGTGTTTTGTTTGGCTTGCGAAGTGTTTTTAAAATTTTAAGCCAACAGTAAAAGGTCAGGTGATTTCATATAAAAATCCACATTTCCCACTTCTCCTGTAACTCTGGCTGACCTGACCACACCGGGTCTGTGTTCCCGAGTGTCGCCGGAAGCTGACTGCAGCTGCCTCCTGTAGCCAGGGCATGTGTGGGGATCGCTCTGACAACTGTCCCCCACTCCTGCAGTGCCCAGTGCCCGACACCCAGGGGAGTCACTGCCACCAATTCAACATGTGACAGCCCGAAGTGGAGGGAAGCAGAGGAGGAAGAGACAGAGGGGGACACACAGATGGAAACTGAGCCCAAGAACCAAGAGTGAGCCTGAGGACCACAGCAAGGGACAGCGCGAGAGGGAGGCAGCAGGCAGATGGAGGCGAGGAGAGACTCCCTGGGCATCTTATGTCACTCCTCAGCCCCTGAGCAGCTGTCTCATTGAAGGAAAAGATGTGTTCAGGCTGGAACTCTGTGGTCCCTCTTCTCCCTGCTCCCATACCCAGACACTGTGGCCAGTGGGGTCTTGATCCTACTGCCCTCAGGCAGAAGACCACTGGCTCGGTGTGGTCCTAGCTTCCCCCTCCAGGCTCCCTCTCGGCAGAACTGCTGCAGCTCCTTCTTCACGCTGCCCCTTCTCTCTGGCTGGTCCTTCCCTCCTTCCACCCGTTCCTCGGCCGGTACATCCTTGGCCAGTACCTGAGAGGCGGATCATAAAAGCTGCCCCTGTGCACCTTCAAGTCGGGACCCAGGCCTGCCTTTAGGCAGGATCCCAGGGAATGGGTTTTGGGCCTGGGGTGCAGTTCTGGGGTGCAGACACACAGCAGTTCAGAGCAGGAACCGGGCACAAGGCAGTGTCTGGGTGACTGTGGCCTTTGGCTATCACCCTTTCCAACCTGGGCTCGGCCAAGGCCGGGAGAAAAGGCAGCCAGGTATCCAGATTCAGGTCAGGCCCTGGTGGAAAACCTGTCACCTCCTGTTGGGCAGGTGGAGGTCACTGACCCCTTTCTGTCTCTTGTGATCTATATTTAGAGCCTGGGGAGGACATGAAAAGGGTGAGGCCTGGACACGCTCCTCGGTCATTTCCCAACACTGGCGTCACCATTCCTAGCCTGCCTAGGTCCTGGGGTGGCCCTCTGTGGACGGGTGAGCACACACCTTGGCAGGAGGTGACGCAGCTGGACCACGCGTGGGAACTCCCGGCACAGCAGGCGGGCCTGCCTCAGCCCCACCTCCCCTGCCACTGGGTTCCTGGCAACCTCTGGTAGCTTCTTCCTCCTCCTTCTATCCCCAGGATGCAGGGGTCCCCACAGGCGAGAGGCTGAACTCAGAGCTACCCAGGTGAGAAGCGAAGCACTGAACCACTGAAATCTCCAGGAGACCACACTGGGTGGCGGGGTGACAGCAACCCTCTGACCTCACAGGGCGCTGCTGTCTCAGCACAACCGGAACAAGGTGTGCCGATGCCGGGAGCAGCGGAAACGGCCCTGGATGGGGATGCAGGGGGCTGCGGATCAGCCTGGGACTCGCTGTGGGGCACTGCTGTCATCCTCTGAAAATGGGTACACCCACAGCATATTGAGGGGTAGGCACGCAGAGGAGCAAACATGATAAATGCATCCATGGGCTGCAAACCGAGGGCCGCTCGGACAGCTGTCCCCCACTCCTGCAGTGCTCGCTGCCTGGCACCATGACGAGTCACTGCCACCCCCAAGGGGCTACCAATTCAACATGTGACAGCCTGACGTGGAAGGAAGCAGAGGAGAAAGGAAGACATAGAGGGAAACTGAGCCTAAGACCCAAAAGTGAGCCGGAGGACCACAGCGGGAGAGGGAGACAGCAGGCAGACGGAGGTGAGGAGAGAGAGTGGCAGAGGGGCTGCGGGGGCGCTGGGCACACCTGGCTGAGGAAGGGACCAAAGGCCCAGAGGGTCCCATAATCTCAGCCTAGTACCTGTCCCCAAGCCCGGGGGCCCTGATCAGGAGGCAGCGACGTCTATCCCACAGCTGTGATAGGCGGGGCACATCACACCCAGAGGGGCCCCAGCATCCATGGTCTCCCCTCCTGCAGGGTGGTCAGCCGCCAGCCTGGCCCCGGACTCCTTGGAAATGCTCCACAAAGTGCCAGCTGGAAATGTCATAGCACAGGGGGCCTTGGGATGAGCCAGCCCCAAGGGGCCATTCTTTCTTGTGGGTTTGGGGAACTCTTTTAAGATCTAGAGCACAGATTCAGGTTCCAGTGCCTGCCCTGTGTCTTCCTAGCCTTAGTTTCACCTCTCGGGGCCTCAGTTTCTCCATCAGTAAAATGAGGACAGTAACCGTCATAGCACCAGGCTCTCAGGCTTCTCAGGAGAGCAGACAGTGAAGTAGCGCACAGAAGTCCTTGGTAATCCAAGAAGCACTCTCCGGACAGAGCTTCCGGGACAGCCCACAGCCACCCTGGACCGACCCACGGAGCACGGGGCAGCTGGGGAGGCCAAGTGGGTGCACACAGGCACCAGCAGCAGAGCAGACCCCCAGTCTCCTCTCTCATACCCGAGATGGGAGATGAAGACTCCACTGCGAGTTCCAAACTCCTCCAACCAGTTCTGACGGGGAAGAAGGGGAGTCCTGGGAAAGCAACTCCCGCGTCCCTGGGGCCCGGCGGTGACCCACCCAGCCCCTCCCCGGCAGAGGCACTGGTTGCCCTGGAAACTCACCTCAGTGGTGGCCAGTGGTGGCAGAGGTGCCAGCCAAGGTGTCGGGCTTTGGAGAGCGGCACGGCGGGCGATGGCCCTCCTCCTGGCAGTCACCACAGAGACACAGGCAAAGAACACGGAGCCCTTCCCCACTCTGGGCACGGCAGGCCTGGCACAAACCTGGCCTGCTTCCTGGGCCATGGTGGGGCGAGAGCCAGGTGGGAAGTGGGCCCTGCGGGAGGCCCTCTGCCAGTGTGCTTGTCGCCTACGTGCCTTAGTGGAGTGGAGCACCCGAGTGCCTAGGCCTGGTGTCACCCGCGTGGCTGTCATACCTGCTCCTGTGACAGGCAGGGCCAGGAATTCCCGCTTGTACCAGGCCATGGGCCAGCCGAGGACAAGTGGAGAGGCTGCCCCAAGCTAGCCCAGCTTTCTCCCTTAATTCTCCAAGCCCCCACTCCCATTCCTTCTGTGTCAGGGGACTGGAAACCACCACATAGAGTCAGAAAGGTGACGGATACAAGTAACCAAATCAAAACAGGGCTCAGTCAGCAGAGCTACCAGGTGGATGTGAGTGTAGCCAGAGGCACTGGGAGGCAGGCAGGAGACCCCTACTCACTTGTTCTGGAAGGCTTCCCTGCCCCCTAGACCTGAGCTCCTCCATCCCTGGCACCCAGGCACGAGATTTCCTTTCTTCTTTTTTTTTTTTCTCCTGAAATGGAATCTCTCTCTGTCGCCCAGGCTGGAGTGCAGTGGTGCAATCTCGGCTCACTATAACCTCCGCCTCCCAGTTCAAGTGATTCTCCTGCCTCAGCCTCCCGAGTATCTGGGATTACAGGCACATGCCACCATACTCAGCTAATTTTTTTTTTTTTTCTTTTGGGACATCGTCTCACGGTGTCACCCAGGCTGCAATGGCGTAGTCTCAGCTCACTGCACCTTCGCCTCCCGGGTTCAAGCAATTCTCCTGCCTCAGCCCCCCAAGTAGCTGGGACTATAGACACGTGCTACCACACCCAGATAATTTTTGTATTTTTAGTAGAGACGGGGTTTCACTATGTTGGCCAGGCTGGTCTCGAACTCCTGACCTCATGATCTGCCTGCCTCAGTCTCCCAAAGTGCTGGGATTACAGGCGTGAGCCACCGCGCTCAGCCACTTGGCTAAGTTTTTTGTATTTTTATTAGAGATGGGGTTTTGCCATGTTGGCTAGGCTGGTCTCGAACTCTTGACCTCAGGTGATCCATCTGACTTGGCCTTCCAAAGTGGTAAGATTTCAGGCATGAGCCACCGCACCTAGCCACAAGATTTCATTTTAACTGGGCACAGGGGTGGGGGTTGCCAACTGTTTTTTTCATTAAGTAGGATGGTAAAAAATAATAATATCACCAGCACTACTCCCACCATTCAGAAAAAACACCACCAAAGGTAAGAAGAAAGGGCTGCCATCAGAAAGAAGGGCAGCCATGAAATGAGTACATTTGGCTTTTAGAATAATTTACTAGAGTGACTACTGGAGTTGTAAACAACCACCACAACACAAAACTTACTACCTTGTCCCCATCTCTGTTTCTCTCATTTTGCTTCAAACCAGACATTGGAAGCCATCGGACGCATCCAACACACCCATCTGACAAGTGGAAAGATGAGCCCCAGAGAGAGCTGGGACTTGCCCAAGATCTCACAGGAAAACCCAGGACTCACGTCTGTCCGGCCGCTCTGCAAAGCTTGCAGACGCTCCCTCCATCCTGACCTGGGGGTAAGAACACTCAGAGCCCCAACCCCAAAGCTCAGAGATGCCAGGGTGAAGTCAGAGGCCAAGGGTCTCAGCTACTTCCTTACCTTCCTGGGACCCTGGCCGGGTGGATGCCCAGTCCCTGGCTGTAAGGGGAGGGCACAGGGCAGGGAGCAGGACAGCAGAGGCAGGGAGGAGGGGGTGTGGGCAGGGGCTGTGGAGGGCCCCCACAGGCACATCAGGCCCCAGGGCCCAGCGTCCTGCCCAGACACTGCCCCAGCAGCAGCTTGCTCCCAGTTCTGCTCCTCTGAGCATCTCACATCCTCTTCCGGTGGCTTTGTGGGCCTCAGGGGACCCAGCTGAGCAGGCAGTTCAGGGCCTGGGAGCTCTGCCACCCTTGGGGTGGGGACTCTCAGGGGATGTGGGTGGACATCTGGGGGTGGGGCCAGGCTGGGCTTAGGGGGCAACAGAGAAATGGAGCTAGAGAGTCATTTCAGGGGGGCCCTGGAGCAGCCACCTTCCTGCCTCCCTGGACTCACCCTGCGGCCAGAACAAATCACCTCTGCTAAAATCCCTGCACCATTTCTGTCCCACCCAGAAGAGAATCCCAAGTCCTCACCTGCCCACAGCCCCCTCCTACTAACTCCAGCTGCCAGCGTCCTCTGCTGGGAACTATGTTCTTCCCCCTTGGTCTCAGGACTCGGTCCCCACTCAGAGCAGCCTTCTCCAACGCCCCTGTCTTAATGCACCAACACCATCCCTGACCATCCCTGCCCCAGCCACCCCATTCCCTGTCCTTTTTCCATCTGGCACACTTCCTCCTGTGGGCCAGGCTCGAAGGCCCTGTCCCCTGGAAAAGTCAGGCATCACCTCTGGCCTCTCTCGCACACAGTGACTCAACCTTTAGCTTCGAGAAATAGTAGAGCCAACCAGGCTGTGAACCGGTCAGCCCAGGATTGAAATTCCGATCCCCAGGGACTCTGGAACCCTGGGCCAGTGATTTAGCATCTCTGGGCCTCAGTTTGCTCCTCTGTAAAATGGGCACAAGGGCACTGGAGGATTCCACAATAACTCAGCATGGGCTTGGCTCATGGTTGTGCTTGGCAGATGTGCAACAATCATCTCCCACGGGGATTTGAGGAGTTCAGGTGCCACAGGGTCACATGCCTGCCCCAGTGCCAGGCACATAACAGACATTTGATCAATGTTGGTGGGTGCTGCCCCTGTGCCAGGAGTGCCATAGCCTGACTCCATCCCTGAGAGCAAGGTCCAGATGGCAGTCCAGGGTCTGCCCAGTGCTCAGAGTGTGGCTTGTATCTGGATCCTAGCAGATAGCTCGGAAATGTTTGCCGATGTAGAAGCACACACAGATGGGTACTGCCAGGCAGGCCTGGTCCCGGGAGAGGAGACCAACGAAGAGGACGCTGTCTGGGTACACACTCTTAACGGGAAAGAAGCCCTGTGCAGACAGGCAGGATCTGGGTGAGGCAGGCGGCAGGGGTTGGTATCTGAGCAGGGATCCGAGACTGTCCCCAGCTTCGGCCTCTCACTCTGGTGTCGCCAACTGCCTGGCCATGTGACCGTGGGCATTGTGTGGTGTGGTTCGGCTGCCACTCCAAGTTTAACCGGGAGCTCACCACGTGGTTTGGGGGTGTGGGGAGGGTTTCCCTGAGCCTCGGTTTCCTTGTATGTAAAGTGTGACCTCTCAGCCCAGCCCTGTAGAAAGGCTCAGTGGGCGAGAAGGTATTTCCTACAGTGTGCGCGCATTTGATTGGGTGCGGGGCTTAAAGAGGCCCTGGAAAGAAGCGCTCAACTTTCTCTTTCTCTTTTTTCCTTTTTTTTTTTTTTGAGACGGAGTCTCGCTCTGTCACCCAGGCTGGAGTGCAGTGGCACCATCTCGGCTCACTGCAACCTCCAACTCCCGGGTTCAAGCTTGTCTCCTGCCTCAGCCACCCGAGTAGCTGGGATTACAGGCACGCGGCACCATGCCCGGCTAATTTTTGTATTTTTAGTAGAGACGGGGTGTCACATGTTGACCAGGATGGTTTCAAACTCCTGACCTCGAGATCCGCCTGCCTCGGCCTCCCAAAGTGCTGGGATTACAGGCGAGAGCCACCGCGCCCGGCCAGAAGTGCTCAGCTTTCAAGGTGGGGGACCAGTAGGGAAGTGGCAGGGAACCAGGTTACCCTGCTAGGTGTGTTTGTGAGCTAATGCCTTTACTTGGACAAGCAGCTCCTGGGTACCAGGCCCTGTGCAGGCCATCGCATCTCTCACGCAAGCTTTCTGTGTTATTCTTGAATAGCCCACTCCAGCCCAGCTTCCCAAGCCTGTTACCCCCATATCTCCCCTGCCCCTGCCTCCAGCACAGGTCAGCCTGGCCTCAGGGCCCAATCCTGGGGCTCCTCCTTTTGGAGCCAGGGTGGGCAGGGTTACCCACGGCAGTGGGCACTGAGTTTGCTGAAAAGGCTGTCGAGGGGCTGGTGACACAGTCAGGCTGCAGGAGGAGCAGCACCAGCTGTCACTCAGAAATGCAGGCGTCCTGAGGAGGTGGTGCCGGCGGGAGGGGAGCAGCAGGGCCACGCACTCCTCCTTCCACCCACGTGGTCCCTGGCCCTGCCTCTGCCGCCAGCCTGGGGGAGAGCAGGGTCTTTGTTCCCTGCCGGCCAGGCTGCCACGTGATGCGCCACATCACTGTCACTGCCTGGAACGAAGACCGCCATGGAGAACCCAGGCGCTGGGGCCTGGGGGTGAGGCCAGTTGGAAGAGCTCCACCTGCAGCCCCCCACCACCCCAACTCTGGCTGCCTTCAGGAGCTGGGCCTAGTGAGGGCCATACACGACACAAACATTTCCAGCTACTGTGTGCGAAGCTCACGACAGCCCTGACCTCAGGCTTCTCCCAGGACACACGACCTGCCAGCGGTCCCACGATGCTCTACCCAGCAGTCCAGGTGGCCTGGGATAATGCACCTGGCCACACACACAAGCCCAGGCTAGCAAAACCCAACCCACAGGCACCTTTCTAGGTAGGGGCAGGGCCAGGCCGGTGCGAGGCCCATTGTTTACAAACACTGTGCAGCTGTCGCTAGGAGCTGTGACTCAGAGCCAGAGCGGTGACTCCTCGAGAAGCTGTTTACTCGGCACCACATCCTGTCCAGGAAGCAGATAGCAGAGGCTGAGGCCTGGCTTTTGCTCCTCTTTCCTGCTGCTAACTTGACTCAGGGACCTGCTGACCAGACTTGGTATCCAGCTGGGGGGACACTCAGCTCCCCTCCCCCTGGCTTCTGGGAACCTGAGGGCCCGTCAAGTCACTCAACACACATTCAGGCCCAGCCGGCTCTGCTAGGCAGCGATGGTGCTGTGGTCGTACACGAGATGGATCCTGCCCCTGGAAGCTGCACCTATGCCTGGCATCTGACTAGGAGACTCCCAGGGATGGGGGCACCACTGACACCTGTCACCGTGCAGCCCAGGGGCAAATTCTTGCCATGTTCAGAAGCCTGGGAGGCAGGATCAACTCCTGACATGTCTTCATCCCCTAAAGCCTAGTCTGGCGCTGCCTTTAGCATACCTCAGTGGGGACAAAGCACTTTTCCACACAGCCTCTGCCAGAAAGATGAAGCCACAGTCATCATCTCTGTTGTAAAACTGAGAAAACTGAGGCCCAGAGAGGGCGAACAACTTGCCTGAGGTCACACAGCATGTTAGTGCCAAGGTAGGGTGTAAGTCCGGCCCCCTTGCTTTCCTCTACTCTGTTCCAAAGTAAGGATCACAAGTAGATTTGTTCCAGGCAGCACACAGACTTGACACTGCTGGGCCCTGTCCCTGGGGTGGGTGGTCTGTCCCCTGTAGGAGGCCCAGGCTGGGAACTCTGACTTCCATTTCTCCTGATCACTGCTGCCTCCAACCTGGCGCCTAAACCAGAGCCCACAACCCCCGATAATTTCTACTACTCACTGCCATGCCAATGCGGGTATCATTTCACCATCATGATACGTAAAGCAGGTTTTGCAGGTAAGTTTGAGGACAGAAGCTCAGAGATGGCACAAAACTCATCCAAAGCCACACAGCAGAGCAGGGCTTCCAATCCTATCTGACTCTGAGACTGCGCTCCCAGTCGCTCCCTCCTGCAAACTCTTAGCAGGAAGACTTTTGTTTTTTTTTTGAGATAGAGTCTGCTCTGTTGCCCAGGACGGAGCGCAGTGGCGCAATCTCGGCTCACTGCAAGCTCCGCCTCCCGGGTTCACGCCATTCTCCTGCCTCAGCCTCCCGAGTAGCTGGGACTACAGGTGCCCGCCACCACGCCCGGCTAAGTTTTTCTATTTTTAGTAGAGACGAGGTTTCACCGTGTTAGCCAGGATGGTCTCGATCTCCTGACCTCGTGATCCACCCACCTCGGCCTCCCAAAGTGCTGGGAAAAGAGTCAGAGGTGATTTTATCCTCATGGTGCCCTTCTAAGTCCAGGGTGCTGGGAAAAAGAATCAAAGGTGATTTTATCCTCACGGTGCCCTTCTAGGTCCAGGGTGCCAGTATCTCAATGGCCTCTGGTTCACGGGAGGGCCCCTGTGTGTGGTGGGGAGGCAGAGCCTCCGAATGACTTGTGGAAGGCTACACACCCCAATGGGGAGGCCCTTTCCCTCCACAGGACACACCTGCCAAGGCATGTGGAAGGTGGGCCACCCTGGAGCGGGGACAGAAAGGCAAAGAGGGGCTGTGTTTATTTTGGCAGCTGGGGCTTGGCACCACCCCAGGCAGGACAGTAACTCAGCAACTGGCTGATTCACCCACCGCAGGGCTCCCCTGCACTGGCTGCCTGCCTGCCGGCCCCTATTACCAGCCCACTGAGTCACGAAGGTTGCCAAGAAACTGAGGATCCAAGAATCCAGGCCCTGCCCCAGCCGCTCCCATTGGCTTTGAGCCCACCAGGACCCAGCCCTGCCAAGGGCACCGCAGCTCCCCTCCCCCACCCTGCCTGCCCCCAGGTCCAGCTCCAGGAGGAACCCAACATCTAACTGTAAGGATCCG